AGGCCGACCGCTGCCCTGCTGAGCCTCACCAGGTATCAACCTCACCGCACGTCACTGGGTATTAGAAAGGTGACTCTGGCTTTCAGTCATTAGCTTGAAATCCAATTGTATAAGGGCACTTCCTTACAAGGACTTTTTGTGGTTTTTTTGCCGATTTGAAATATGGTAACTCCAGACATCAAGAGTGTTGGAGGATTGAGCTGATTTATTCTAAAATGAACATGTTGTAAAACTTTGGTTTGGTTTGGTTTTGTCTGGTTTTGAGATACTATGGCTCCATTTCCCCATCAAAGAGTACTCATTTCAATCTTCTAGTTTGTATGCCAGGTTAAGAAAAAAAAGGTGGGGGCACACAAAAGGAGGAGGAATGAAATGTCATTTTCAGATAGTTTCATTGCCAAGGTACAGTTTTTGTTTATGTATTTTATATTATTTATTTTGTTTATCACCATCTCACCACAAGGTGACTCTGTTGTTCTGGTCCTCCTTTTGTTTGGAACAAGGATGAAGTTACTTTTGTTATTGCCAAGCTTAGAACCTTTGGGGACAGGGTGGTGATTTCCCCTCCTTTAGAGCAATTCAAGTCAGAAATTATGGCCATAAGGAAGTGCTTGAAAATACTTTTGAACCACCCCATTCCAGAAAGCCATTTATTACTTCAGAATGTGCTTTTGTACATTCTGCCTCATCTTCTGCTATGGGTTGAGCCTTTCTGTATCTATCCTACCCACCCTTTCAGCCAGAGGCCAGTCTTCCCCTGCCCTTCCGTGCATTACAGATATGTCAGCAAAGAATTCAGTGCTCTCTACTATTCTATCTGTCTCTCTCTGCCTACCAATCCCTCTCTCAGATCCAGCTTTCCTTCCTTCTGTAATAGTATTAGTATTAATACATCTGCTACAGCTAATAATACTAACATAGCTTGGGAAGCATGGAAAGTATGACTTGTGCATATATTTGTCAGCTGAACACCAGATATACCAGATCAGGAAATCAAATCTACATAAGGCCTAAAACTGCTTTTACTGAGATTGGCTATAAAAACAGAATTGCAAGTCTGCTTGTGCTTTTCTTCCCCCACCTTCTTATACTCCAGTGAATTAGTGAGGTATCTGCATGAGTTGTTTTCGAATGTTATCTCATTGTTTGGGCCCTTTTTGCCTAGGTAATGGTTCTTGCATATTTCTATGAAAGCCATCTTCCTTACTTGACAAGGCTTATGAGTTCTGTCTGTATTTGTATGCCTGCATGGGTGTATGTGCATAATTTCCTTACTTGATGATCCCTCCCAGTTTTTCTGTTATGTTTCCCTGTGGCCCTCAGTCCACTAGAAATTTTGCTCCTCAGGTTTAGGTTTTCAAATGCAGAAATATTTTACAGCTTGCTTGAACATTACATGTTGATAAGGACATTCTTTAATACCAAAATGGAAACCCAACTGCAGTTCTGCTTACAGCATAAAATCAGTGGGGTTTATTTTGTTGCTAGCAGTAGTGTATAAAGAAAAACTCATTGTTTTAAATTATTTCAAATACTTGATTTCTCTTTTTGTGTGTTGCACTAACCTTCTCTGTGTGAATTATTGAACTGGGTTTTAACGTCAGCTTTTATTTATATATCAGACTACATTCATTCATTCATTTTCTTTAAAATCTTTTGAATCTATTGATCTCCTATTACATTAGTTTTATTTGCGAAGTGATCAACGGAAAGAAGTTCTGAACCTTCTAATCACCATGGCTCTATGCTATATTGGCAGGAGATGGTACTATTGGAAAACTATTTTGACAGTTTTAAATACCAGAGAGGGAGCACAAATTGTAAAATCCCTATATCTTTTTCCTGCTGGGTTCAGGACGTAGACATCAGGTGTAATGCCTCCTGTAAGATGTGTAGTGGCAACAGGAACTAACAAGCTTCTATCCTGAAACAGGAGGAGGGACCAGGGTGTAAGTGCTTCTGGGAAAGGATGTTGGGGACCCCTCGTCTCTATCCTCTGAGCCTGAGCAATTTTGTCTCATCTCTTCCAGCCTTTGGCAATGCTAAAACAATTCGAAATGATAACTCAAGCCGCTTTGGGAAATACATTGACATTCACTTCAATCAAGATGGTATAATAGAAGGAGCTAGAATAGAACAGTTCCTTCTGGAGAAGTCTCGAGTGTGTCGCCAGGTAAGTAAGTAAGTAAGTAAGTAAGTAAGTAAGTAAGTAAGTAAGTAAGTAAGTAAGTAAGTAAATATATATATATTTAATTTATCTATATATTTATATGTATATGTATATGTATATGTATATGTATATGTATATGTATATGTATATGTATATGTATATGTATATGTATATGTATATGTATATGTATAAAAAGAAATACTATTTCATTGTGGCAGTTTTTCTATTTCTTCTGTTAGTAACATATTTTTGGTTTTCCTATTGTTTTAGCCTCCTGAAGAAAGAAACTATCACATATTTTATTGCATGTTAATGGGGATGAATCTGGAACAGAAAAAAATGTTGAATCTTGGCACTACTTCAGAGTATACTTATCTAACTATGGTAAGGAATCGGGGTGGTATTGACTTCCCTTCCCTACTGGTTTGCAAATGAGAGCATGCATGTGCAAAGCCTTCCGCACGTGCACTTTTGGCAAAAAAAGGGCCTAAATGGGATGCCGTAGAGCTAGGGTGAATGGGCAGGGCCACCCCCAATTTCCGCTACTGGTTCGGCGAACTGGTCCGAACCAGTAGAATACCACTTCTGTAAGGAATCAAGAGCTGTATATGTGACAATGGCACATTTTAAGGTCCTAAACATTACATCAGAACTGTGTAGTTGTGGTTCACAGCTTTTAAAAGGACTTTTAAAATTTAGTGATTGGAAAAAAGATAATTATAGGTAGTCCTTGTTTATTAACTGCTCATTCAGTGACAATTTGAAACTACAACAGCACTAAAAAAGGGAATTATAACCAGTCCTTGAAATTGCAATTGTCATGGCATCCTTCTGGCTACGTGATCACAATCAGGGTGTTTGGCAACTGGTGCATATTTGTAATTGTTACATAACAGATCACCATTTGCAATCTTCATAGTTGACTTCATCAAACAAGGGGAAGTTGCAGAAAGTCTTAAGTCATGGCCACGTGATATTATGCTTAATAACTGCAGCCAGAATGGATGTTATAAGTTGATGCAGTCAGTTGGTGTTTTACTTAGAACTCAATTGCAGTTGATAATTGAGGACCCCTTGTCATAAGAGTTTGTATATGTTTTGTAAATGTGTGTATTTACTTATTTTTTCCTCTCATGGTATTTAAAGATGTTTTTATTTGAACTACATGAAGGCATTTTCAGTTATATTATGAGTGTGTGTATAAATATGTGTGTGTGTGTGTGTATGTATGTATGTATGTATGTATGTATGTATGTATGTATGTATGTATGTATGTAATATACAGCATATAGGAGTGTGATGGCT